GGAGACTGAACGCAATCACAAAGAAAGACTATTACCCCCTATCGTTAATTAGCGAGGTATTACAACGAATAAGCAAGGCGAAGATCTATACGAAGCTTAATATCCAGCAAGGCTTCCAGCGGATTCGTTTGACACTAGGAGCGGAGGACCTTGCTACATTTCTTACGAGATAAAGATCCTTTAAGTATAGGTGACACTATTTGGTTTAACGAACGGACCGGCGACATTCTAGAGAATCATAAATGATGTTCTTCCAGATTGGTTAGACGAGTATACAGTCGCCTTCGTGGATAATATCTTGATCTACAGTGAGAACGCCGAAGATCACTAGCGATAGGTCAGAGAAGTACTCCGTCGTCTATAGAAAGTATGGTTATAAGTGGCCCTATCAAAATCCGAATTTTTAGTGAAGAAGACTAGGTTCCTTAGATTCAATGTGAGCACCGATAGTATAGCCGTCGATTTAGAAAAGTTTCGTGTGGTGTAGTCATAGACGATACCGACTATAGTGAAAGGAATATAGTTGTTCTTAGGATTCTATAACTTCTACCGCCGACGATTTATTTAGGGACATAGTGCTATTTCGAAACCACTTTATCGGCTAGTAAGATAAGATGTTCTATTCGAGTGGTTGGCGAATTGCGTGTAGGCAAAAAATAAGTTAGTTAGTGCTCTAATTCTCCGGCACTACGATCCGGTTCGACGAACTCAAGTTAAGACAGATATATCTAATAGAGTTCTAGGAGTAGTACTTTCCTAGTATAATGAGAAGGAAGATTTCTAGCACCCGGTAGCGTTCTACTCGAAGACTATACAATCCGCAGAACTAAACCATAAAGTACGCGATAAAGAGCTCCTCGCAGTCGTCCGTGCTTTATAGGAATAGAGACCCGAACTCGAAGGTCTATCCTAGAAGGATCGTTTCGAGATCCTCACTAACCATCAATCACCTAAGTACTTTATAACAACCCGATAAATAAACTAGCGATAGGCGAGACGGAGTGAATTCCTATCTTAGTTCCGTTTTATAATTAAATACAGTCCCGGGACGAAGAATATTATGACTGATATCCTATCACGAAAAGAATCTCCTTGTGTAGACAATGGACGATAGTTTGTGATGCTTCCGAAAGATTATCTTAAAGAGGGAGTCTACCTAACTTATGTAGCTCCTATTCACTTAGAAGAAATAGAGACGATTAGGATCGTTGAACGGATAAAGGAAGCTAACCGCTAGAGCTTAGAGTTAGACGAATTCCGTTAGATAGTGCGAGATAGGAGTAGTTCCCGATAGATATTATTAGATAGGCTGCTCCTTTACGAAGGACGACTTGAGGTTCCTAATGAAGGAGGAGATTGACTATTTGCACACCCCTTAGCGTCATTTTTTGCTATCTGCACACCTTTAGTCCTTTTTAGGTATAGGGTTATATGTGGCCAAGAATCACGTGATGAGGGTGTCATTTACTATGCGGATACCATATTAAATTACACAAATGATGACAAACGGTTAGCCAAGAAAGGCTATACCTTAAAAGGACTAAAGGTGTGCAGATAGCAAAAAATGACGCTAAGGGGTGTGCAAATAGTCAAACGCTAAAGAGACTCTAAATCTAAAGATAGACTTAGTTAACGTATTCGGTAAGCGAGCTGGCCATGTAAGCGAGCTGGCCACCCCAACCAACTTCTTAATTTAAAATTCATTTATCTCAACCAAAACGCCATTAAATAAAATATACTAAAATCATCCATCTAGCTAGGCATCTATTAATCTTATGTCCTATTTCTCCACAACCACTACACTTTGGCGGGGCCCGCGTACGTGGTTGTAAAGCCGGCGAAGGGCTTCGTCGTGGAGGGGGAGGAGGCGCTTCAATTGATTCCACCGGCTCAGTAATCAATTGAGAAGCTTCTTGAACTGAGAGGTCTTCTTCAGTAGGTATCTGCCTCCGGGATCTAGTACGCTTTTGCTTCTGCTTCTCGTTGGCGGCGCGTAAATCCTTGTTTTCTTTGGCGAGTAAGATAGCACCTTGAATTGTAAGACGGAAGCCTTTTACAAGCTGGTTTAATGCACGATTTGACGGGCTAGGTGGGCTTCGAGATCTTGTACGAAGTAAAGCTTTGATTGATGAAGCTTGACGACGTAGTTCTTTCTCCGTAAAGGGGGTTTTTGGGGTAAAATTCCGGCTTGTTTCACTCCCCCGGCTGGCTGGGGGGGTTAGGGTTCGAAGCCGAATATCAAGGTTTGAAATCACTCGGTCGGGTGCAAATGGTACTAAACCAGCTCCTCCGAAGCTATTTTTAATAGTCTCCGATTTCCGATTTAAAATCTTCAATTCGTGCGAGAGAGTATACTTCGAGGAAGTCAAGTTTGTCGATATGGTTGATCCCGATCCGCATCTTAGTTTCAACCATCCGACCGTACGCACGTTTTAACACCGCAAAACAACCAATATCCAAAGGTTGTGAAAGATGAGATGAATGCGCTGGCATACAGATTGGTATCACCTTAGTTTGCTCGCAAATTTTGTCAAATTGAGGTGTTAAATGACTTCCGTGGCCGTCAAGTATCAAAAGCCGGTATACCCCCTTCGTACACAAATTACTAGGAATAAGACCTTCTCTAGCCAGCGAAGTCCAATTTCATCAGAAGTCCAGCCGTTAGGACTAACTTCGAAGCGCCAATCCTCCAGGAGACCGTTAAACCAGGATTCAATAAAGACTTTGCCTTTAAAAATCACACACGGAGGAAGCGCCCACCCAGACATTCAACCACCGTCACCCATTCACGATTTCTAGGTTGCAAAACCGGCCTCCGACCGTAGTATTCACTCCTCGTAATAACCTTCGCAGTTACAGTCAATCCCATTGCAAAACCAGTCTCATCAAAGTTATAGATATCATCAGGGTCGATTCCAAATTGAAAGATTGTATTTTGAACCAAATCAAACCACTCCCCAATGATTTTAGGATCTTCGCATTCCGCACGCTCGTAGTTATATCGTTTCGAGAATCGGGAGGATAGGAGAGGATGCCGTTTCACGAAGTTATATACCTATTTCTCGCCGACCGAAAGAACCGGGGTAGTTCCACGCTTTTGAAGAAGAAGATATGCCATTTCTTGTACCCTAGAGGGCCGGGGGGCTGATCCATGAGAATCCATAGAGAGGATCCATTTCTTAAGAGATTCCTCTTCAGCATCGGTCAATTTATAAGAGTTGGCGCGAGAAATCGCGTGGTGTTGTATACCATTTAGGCGGGTCGAAAGGGTGGATCATGGGACGTTAAAACGGCGGGCCACTTCACGAATTGAAGAGATTTCTTGATTCTTAAAAGCCTGGATAGCTAGTAAGATCCTACCCTCCTGCTCTATTGAATTTCGAGAGGATTGAGTACGAATTGGTGGCATGGTGGGTAGTTTAACTAACTAAGATCTAATTCATGGACGCGTTTTGGTTGGGGTGGCCAGCTCGCTTACATGGCCAGCTCGCTTACCGAATGCGTTGAACTTCTAAATCATTACCTAATAGTTAGATTTGTATAAAGCGATAGCCAGCGTCTATATAAGGAACGGAAGCGTCGGAGAGATAATAATGTATATATTTACTAAGAGGACTAGATAAAGCGCCAAAAATCAAATAAATTTAAAAATGATATTCTCTAGATTCCCTATTTACTATAAACAAAATACCCCAAAATTACTAGCTTTTCTATGTAACTTGTATATATCACGAGGTTAGTAGTGTTTACACTGTTAATAGTGCTGCAGCACTCCCGCTATAGCACTGCAGCACCGAACCAAAGGCCTAGTGCTGCCGTAGCACTGGTGCTACGAGACTTGTCAAGGCCTATGTACGGCAGTCTTATGGCCTTGTAGGATCGTATTGTGATATACAGGCAAAATTTACACAGGCGGTCTGAAAGGCGGAAACTGATTTCGAAAAATGCTCTACCTGACATGTAAACATGGAGAGGATACTATGCCATACATCATTGTAGAGGTCATCGACTCAGCACGGTTGCCTTAATAAACGATCTGCGCTAAGGTCTTGGCAGCGGGGCCAGAAAGAGTGTCTAAGAATTTTCTTGTTGCACCGGTTTCGCAACGTACTGTACTAATCTAGCACCTATCAAGCTCAACTCCATATATGAAAGATTGGCATAAGGATAGATGGATGTTACCAACGACTTCAGACATGATTGGAATTAAATTTATAATGTGCACTGTTATTGGACACCTTGCGAGTCCGTTCACTAGAACCTCACTTGTCTATTCCAACATCGCAACTCCTGCACTGCTTTATTGGTTTCTCTCGCAAAACCCGAAAGCAGCTTCTCATCAAGTCCATCATATGGTATCAGTTTTCGTTTGCCATTTGGTGAAATTATCCCCAAGATGGGTCGTAAATCGATGATCTCGGCCATCTCAAAATCAAAAAAGACCACCTTTTTGCTTTCTGGATTGTACAACCAATTTCGCGGGGCTGGATCCTTATGAAGAACATTCAGACGGTGTATCCCTGAGAGTGACTCTTTCATCTTAGCAATTAAGCAATTCTGAGTCATTTCCTTGAGTGCTAGGTCAAGAGGCTGTCCACCCGGACTCAATAGCATCATATGTTTAAGAATTGCGATACCGTCGTAGCTATACGGATGAACCAAGTCGATGCTTCCAAGATAGAAAGGGATGTATATGCCTTGGATTGGACGTAGCTTATCGTATATAGCAGCTTCGTGCCGAAGGTGTTCCGAGAACTCTGGGACGGTGCATTTTGCAGGCACAGTGTATCCGTGCGAGGATAACGTTACTTTCAAAAGAACACCACAAGAACCATGTATACCCAGTACTTCACAATCGGCATTGACAGTCTTAGACAATTGATGCCGCAACAGCTTGATGAAAGATTTTGCGTTTATGACATGACGCGTTGTGCCATGATCAAGGAAATTGGGGCAAGCCTGATCTAGCTCATCCCCATAGAGCAATCCGCGTAGACAGTTTAACGTGCAGTAGCGCCGGTTGTTTTCTGCTGATGATCCTTGTGTAGCTGGCGTATGCGTTGGATGGGTCGGCGGTGGATGCCTCCGTTCGATGTTGCGATAAATGCGCGGATCGCGACTCGGCGTATGGGGGTCAGGTTGGTCGTCGTCTGAATTACCTTGTGCGTCTATTGAATGGCAACTACCCATGATCAGGTTGTGTCGCTTGCGACGTAGTTGTATCGGAGACATTCGAAGAAAACCATTTGTCCGTGGAGGGCGATATTCGGAGAACGGTACCTCAGCATCTGGGATACTGCTCAGAATATCTGCGACAACCACTTTCCACCTTGGCAACGAGTTGATTGCTTGCTGCCTCCAAGCCTGGTTCCGAGGCCGCAACTTAAGCGCCTGGAGGGTGAAAGCAAGAGACTGTCCCACCGCAGTTAAATGCAGACGATTTGGGCCACTCGAATGGGGGTCCCAGCCAGTGTAATCCCCAACATCTCCCTTTGGAACAGAGAGGTGGTACAAAAGCGTCCCAGGATCTTCCCCAATTCGTAGATAGATATCAGCTTCGCCAGTACTGAGGACTCCCATTTGCGTACCAGCGCGAATCATATAGTCATATGGCTGCACGAGAAGCCCAGCAATCGCGCGATGGAACCGAACTTTTAGGGTCTCGTTTTTTTCTTGCTCAACCACTTTATCAATGTCCATATCCTCTAGCCCTCCATAAATGTGGCCTAGTTTCACCTTACGCGGAGACTTATACTCCTTTATATAGGCTGCAATGCGATGGACCGATTCGGATGATTGACTGGGAATGTTATAGACGCAGAATTGGTCAGCACGAGGCCTACTGCTTCGTGCCGGAGGCGGGGTTCTCGGGTCACGCGTTGCTGTATTGCTTGATGCGCTTTGTTCTCGGGCAGCTAAACGCGATGAACGTCGCCGGCCACGAATATCGATATTCTGCATTCCCTCCTCAAGTTCCCGCTCAGGGCTTAGTGTATTGGAGTGGTTTTCAAAACGGATCGACCCTCTTAACCCAAATACTTGTCGTAGTGTTGGATCATTGTAGAGCTCTTCGATGATTTTCGAAACATGGTCCTCAACGGTCTGGCGAAGAAAGTGGTGAAGGTCAAGTTCGGAGCCGACGAGCTGTCGTCGAATGCTTTCTCCCGTTTCTTCCAGGGTATGAAGGGAAGTGAACAGTCTGTCTTCCACAAGTGATGAATCCATCAGCAATCGCCAAATTTCCACTTGTTCTTTCGCGAAAGATCCCCAAGCTTTAAGTTTTCTGGGGCGGAGTTTGTTGGTCGCATTTACGGGATCTCCACGCGTGGATTTTGTCTTATCCTGCTGAACTCCAAGACCGAGGAAGAGGTAGTTATGGAGACCATCGAGAAATGTGGGTAGGCTGGTTTTTAATGTCCTCTCCCGATCCTCTGCACGAAGACGTTGCTCCTCTGCAAGAAGGCGCCGCAGCTCGTCAAGTTCTGTGGACATTCTGAATCCAAAGTGTTGTGAATGGCATTTTCGAAGGTGCCGGGGTCCTTGTTTTCCTTTACTTACGGCTCACGTGATAATTTCACGTGTGCTGTGAGATTCTGTAAGGATCGCATGGTTTCTATTGGGTAATGCTAAATATCAAACCTCAAATATGGCCCCCCTAGGCCATAGACAGGAACCTCGGTTTTTATTATGGGACATACTGCTGGCACAGCAGTCTAACCGAATTAGGTGAAGACTTCCTTGGCACCAGTTTTCAGCCTAAGTGTCATTTATTATGGTATCGCCACGGTAAAAAACACTGCCCCCCAACCAACCTAGCCACATGGTACTTCTCTGCTCAGCCCCATATTAGTTTAATGCCTTCATAATTATGCTTCAATTTCATGCCTCCATTAAAATCACATGACCTGCATAGGGCTAATTAATTAGGCTTAGCCGAGCGTCCCACATAGTGAAAGCTGCATACCAATTATCGTCAATTTAATTTGATCTCCTATATGGACTTCCGCAAAGCCCAACTTTGGGCCCAAGGTCCGGGCTCGAAACCCAACCCGCAACGAGCTGGGGGTCGAACTTTTCAAGCTCGACCCGGACCCCGGCTCGCAGGGGGGGGGGGGGCTCGACGTAGCATAAAACATGGTCTTGGCGTTCATAAAATGGCTGAATCACCCAAATAAATGACCGTCTTTTACCCATGTTTTGGTTTATACATGGAATTCTACTCGATTATCATAACAAGTAAGGGGAAATATTTGGAAATTCTAGTGAATAGATACATGTCTTTGATACATTAGCATTATAACTAAGCTTTATGACTGTACCTATCAGTTTGCTT